TAAGGACACGAAAAGTGGACGTACACCTTGGTTGACGAAGAAACGCCCAATGTACTATGCCAGAGACACCGGGTGGAATGGTCGTAGTGACAACAGGCAAAAATACGAGCCTGCTGACAATAGCCCACATGGTCTGCCAGGGGCCTATTCTTCTTTCAGTGGAGACAAAACCTGCTAATCAACTTGGGGTGCCTCATATGTTCAGCTGCGAGCCCTCACACACGCTGGGGGTTGAACAACAGCAGCAGGAGCCTCATCAGTGCCATCGCAACAGAGAAGGCTACCCGGTGGGTTTCAAGCAGCCAGCCTGAACAGGCACGTTTGCGTTCACCGGGCGACGCGCTCTCTTTGTCTCACAGCCATGTCGCCAGTTCATATGCTACCACGAGAACATCGCATTTCCAAGGACGAATGGGCCCAATGTTTTGCGCAGCACAACTACTAGAATTCAACATAGCCTAGCTTAAGGAAGATTTCTTTCATATTCTGTCAGTGAGGACCGAACCTGCTCATCGATTTAGTAACCTCGCATGCCCACCTAAAACCGTTCAAACTCAGTGTGAGTGAATATCGACAGCCGGAGTCGATGAAGTATAGTTGCAGCAGAGCAGACTACTCGGCGGGTTGCAAACCGGCATTCTTCGGTTAGGGAATTTTTCAAGAACTAATAAAATTCTTCAAGACACACTAAACGCCCTTCAGCTGTTAAGGGATTAGCGAGTGCTGCCAGGGTTTTGGAAGACGAAGCAACGTCCCGCTAGCCTGAGCAATCTGCCAAAAGGCTTGTTTCGTCCACAGCCGTGGTAGTGTTAACTCGTCCCGGCAACAATGTACCAAATCTAATAAAACAAGCGAACATCAGCCCCAAACAATGTGCTTTGTGTTGATTGTAAAGTAAAGCGGAACTGAATTACCTCCGTTTGTCGATGGCCTCTTAGGCGAAGCATCTGAGAAATACTGTGAACGGAAAAGAAGAGCGATTCTGCTCGGCTCTTCAAGGCATACCAAGTGAGTTCAGTTACAGAGGCTAGCAGTGACTGCCCGATGGCAACCATGGTGACAGCTCGATTGTTGTCGATCACACTGATTCATCCTCGGGGTGGTTCTGTTTGTATTTTTATTGTGTTTTTGTTTGTGCTGGTTTGGTATTGTTCAATACCACTTTGTTTGATATTGATCAAATTTCTGGGACAGGCTCGCATTGAGACCCTATGAGGGAGCCATACGCTTACTAAAACGCGACGGCAACTACGACCTCCAAACATGCCCACAAGTATTTAAATATCGAATATTAAAAAGAAACATTTAGTGAGGTTCAACAAGCCGAGTATACGGTTAAATCGACTATTATGCTGGGAATACCTTACAAAGACTATTCAGTATATGCAAAGTAACGATCCACGAAGCGCAATTTAGCCTTGAAGGCCAGTTATTCGAAGCAGCCATGCTGTTCTCTGGAAGCCACTAGTGTCCAACTGTGCGATGCCTCTCATGAGAAATGAGGCACCATGCAGGCTCGCTTCCTGTGCTTCTATGATGATATTGACAAGTTCCGCACTTGTGACTGCCTAGTTGGTCATGTGAATATTGAGAAGACATACTACCAACCGATATGTGGTCGTTGTAATTATTTTTACATTATCAGTAACGCCATCATTTTCCGCTGGAGCACCAACTCATCCAGTATCTACATCTACGTTTGTTCACAAGAGCTAGAAGAGACTTCAAATACCTCAGGTGTGTGTCTAGGATATGTTTCAAGCGTAGCATGCGTTAGTGAAAGATCATGTCATTGTATACCAGCCACTGGTAAGCACAGTCAATCACGATGCAAAAATAATAGACGATTCAACGTTGTATTTAGGACATCAGTGTAGTGAGGTGCCGGATTAAAACAGTCTTCTCGAATTCTTCAAACCACACTTACTTCACCTACTGCGTGGTGTCATTCTAGTGCTGCAATTACAATTTAGTTATACCACCGCTGTAGGACTATGTGTTCAGATTGATTGATTTGTGGGGTTTAACGTCCAAAAACCACCATATGATTACGAGAGACGCCATAGTGGAGGGCTCCGGAAATTTCGACCAACTGGGTTTCTTTAACGTGCACCCAAATCTGAATACACGAACCTACAACATTTCCGCCTCCATCGGAAATACAGCTGCCACAGCCGGGATTCCACCGCACAACTTGCGGGTCAGCAGCCGAGTACCTTAGCCACTAGACCACCATGGCGGGGCTATGTATTCAGCCTAGCCATGCAGTTGTAGCAATTTCAAGCTGTGTGTACACTTATGCGATCTAACAAGAATGATTTTGCAAATAGTTATGCACAAAAAGGATGGGGATTGCCTGCGTTTGACACTAGGAGACGTTGTCTCGGAGGCAGAGGGGCTGGCAGTGGCAATGTTCCGGTGACCACCACAGTTAATGCCGGTTTGTTGTGACTCCTCTTCCAGCATTATTCTCAAAAAGAAACTTCTGATGAGCACCAGCAGCCACCTGGTGCACTCGTCAGGCACTTGTGGTGCGTCTACAACATGGAACACTGGGCGAGCTTGGCGGCTTAGTGTAAACGTATCCTAGGCCACGATCATCGGGAAGGGTCCTGCTTGGGATGTTCACAAGCTCATACTCTCGTTGTGGATGTTCCAATGAGATGGTCCGCACCTAATTAAGATTGTAGGGGATGAAGCCAGCAAACATACTACGTGCAAAACATTGTGCTCAAAAAGATATCGAGGGGCCCTAGTCTGACAGCCAACCTCCTAAACGTTCTCTAATTTTATCTTGAAAGCAAAAAAAAACGGTAGTTGTAGCAGTCAAAGTGAAAAAAAGACACTGCAGCCATCAAACTACGCAACCTTGATTTCAATAGCGCAATTCAACAATATTGATTGATTATATACGGGGATTATATACGTCCCCAAACCACCATTTGATTATGAGATACACCGTACTGGAGGGCTCAAGAACTTTCGACCACCTCAGGTTAGCTTACATGCACCCAAATCTGAGCACAACGCGTCTACAGTATTTCGCCGTCATCGATAATGCACCAGCTGCAGCCACGATTCGAACCCGCGGCCTGCGGGTCATCAGCCGAGTACGTTAGCCACTAGACCACCACGGCGGGGCATGATTCGACAATATCCTATTGAAAGTAATATGGATATAAATGTGGATGTTTACCGCTCTAACCATAAGTCAAGTAACAATTGCGTTTGATACACATTTCGCTCATTGCGAGAATTACTGACCGCAAATCGTCAGTCATGTCACAAAGACATTGGTTCTCGAGAGAAAGACACGTACGATATGACAATGTCCTAATTTTGTATGATGGCCTCAGCACTTCATAGCTTTTAGAGGCTATACTTTGCAGCTGTAATATCAGGCTATAATACTGCAGCCTCCGTTACAGTGCAGTTCTGCTTCAGCAACTGTTTTCCCTAATGCTCGGAATGCCGTTCAGAATGTTCCAGCATAACCTACAGAAACGTCTGTTGTGCTTTGGGTTGAAAATTTCTATCCTAAAAAAAAATGAGTCTTGCAGATGTTTATTTAGTTGATGACAAAGGAAAGCACTTCATGCATTAAGAAACATCCCCTAAGTAAATCATTTGTCCTGACATCAAACCGCGATAGATCTGAACGTAAGAGATGAGTGCTAGAGATCTGAAGAAATCGTACAATAATGATTTGTCAAAGTACATGAAGCTTTCAGGATGACGATATTTACCGCTATGATGGCACCTTCGCCATCAGACTGATGAAACGTACCATCAGGTACGCATTGTTGCGCAAGTAACAAAGATTCAGCTGAAAAGGCACATCTAAATCACGGAACCTTCGTGTGAGCAATTCAGTGCTGCCTCAAAGAAGATGCACAATCTTGCTGAACAAAACCACCATTTCAATCATTATCAGGTTTCATCACAGTGCACATTCACGTCATCACCTTGTCTGACATATAGCTTGTTAATGTCTAAACAATTCCCTCAGTGATTTTCCGAGAAGGTATGTATCTTCTAGGACCACAAGACCTTATGAGAAAGAGTAATAGAAGCAATGAGTTGCCGTAGTGAGTTGGGACAGACGAGCTGCTCCAACACTATGCAAGGGAATGCGTCGCTTCTTGTTTTCAAGCTTTGGCTCTGCCATATTAGCGCTGATTGGCTGCACTCGATGATGTTGGCACAGGTAAATGAAGAAAATTATCGTTGCCTAAGCATGTGTTGGTTTGTTCGACCACCGTGCAAGGCGCTTCGCTCGAACATTCTGTATTCATTATATACAGAAACAGACATGCGACAACCGTTAACTTCAGAAATATTCAGCAGTAAATTAAGCCACGCATTTGTAATCAAAACAAATCAGATGTTCATCACAAGCTGCACTTCGTATCTGGGCCTGCAGAGCTGACGATTCGTTCTCCTTCGCAATAAGAGGAACGCCAGTGCCAGACATTCTTGCCGGTACCTATATACCACCTCATGTTCGATTCAGCTTAAAGAGTAATTATCTGGCCCATCTGTCATTTTTGTTCACTGTATCTGGTAAACACCCAATGTGCATGAAGAGCCTAACGCAATACGGAGGACAACATTCAATTGATGGCGATGCGGTATATGTCACAGCGACTCAAGGAAACACGGTTCGCAAATAAGATAAAACAGTACGATAGCCATTCTGCTTTACCGCTCGTTGTGCTGTTGCTACTTCCGATTCCAGTGACACCGCGTATCCTTGAGTGACAGGTTCCTCGTTAAAATGAGTAGTCGGTCAAGCAATGATGCGGCGTGAGAAAGCCACGGTAACTTTTGAGAAACGGAGCTTTTTGTTGTGCTGAAGTACCGGCATATGGTCGACAACCGAACAATGAAGAGCGGTACCATCATACGGTAAAAATTTACGCACCATAAGTCCATAGCTTGAAAAAATTTCTAGTGAATCAATTGCTACTGCTTCAGCATGAGCGGGTCGTCTTACTCACTGTTGCTAGAAGGTCTGGACGTAGCGTTCGCCACTAGCCGTATTCCTCAAGCCAGCCCTTTCAGTTTCGGAAACGAGCGATGGTGGGGCCATTTGTAACACTGTAGACCACGTCCGGTTTCCGGTATCGCAAAGACCACTGCCAGTCTTACGACCCTGTCAGGCCAGGGTGTCGCAGAACCTCAGAAGCACAGCGACAAAGTGCAAAGCAACGGTGGTGGACCTGGCAAGCAACCGCTGCCCTAGACGCATTCGGCCATCTCGCTTAGAAACAGCAATGTGAAGCAGAACCAGCTAAGCATGGCGTCACAGCAAGTGATAAGCACCCCTTTGCACGTGCCCTCTTGCAGTACATCCGCTACGTCTTTAAGCATCGTTGCCTCAGGAATAAATATCTTGCTTCACTACTGGCGCATTGGCACTTATCAATAAATGCCGATATGCGCATGATTCCTTCGATGCGTGGCCATTTTATCTGCGCCATCACGAGACGCGGCAAGGCTTGCATTGCGTCGGTATCGGATAATCGCTTCAGACGAGCGGCCGTCTCAGTGAAGCAATCAGCCTATACCACCAAAAGAGCGTCGATTTCATCGTAATGAATTATTAGGTTGATTGATTGATTGATATGTGGAGTTTAACGTCCCAAAACCACCATATGATTATGAGAGACGCCGTAGTGGAGGGCTCCGGAAATTTTTGACCACCTGGGGTTCTTTAACGTGCACCCAAATCTGAGCACACGGGCTTACAACATTTCCGCCTCCATCGGAAATGCAGCCGCCGCAGCCGGGATTCGAACCCGCGACCTGCGGGTCAGCAGCCGAGTACCTTAGCCACTAGACCACCACAGCGGGGCTGAATTAATAGGTGCTGCGAACGGCTTCGGTGACAAACGTTCTGTAGAAAATGTATTTTTCAGAGTTGCTGGTTGATTATATTCTCAAAATGTCATTGTGTTCGTCGGCACCTCCATTACTTCTTTGACCATTACGTCTTATATCTTGTGTGACTTGAATTTCTTAACACTTAAGTATCTATACTACAAGAAATATTTTGCTGTCCTCTTCACTTAAAATGCGACAGCGTAAAATAGTAAATTTAAAGTAATGCTGACGGGCAAGTGACGAAACTATCTGACAAAATCTATCCAAATATGAACGAAAAGCAACTCATAACAGTTTTAGTCAGAAACGATAGGCAGCCATAGAATTCGAGTTATTCGGAATAGGTAGAGATACTTGGACGTGACGTATTTAATCACCTTTGTTTTCGTTAAGCCTTGCATTCTGACTGACAGTCGAAAAAAATAACCCGTTGCATGCCGAAATACGGCAATTACAGCAAGTAGTAAACTGAACTAGAACTTCAACATGATAACGTTGGGTATATAAACAACTAATTGCATTCATGAGTAAAAATTTACCCCGTAGACAATCAGACAGGTGATTGTCCGTATGTGGTTTTATTTATTACCACCTTATGCATGCACAGATGCGGCTGGCAATTATTTGTCCCAAGAAATGTGCTAGACTACTTCATTTCGGCTGACGCGATGTGCATCAAAGTTTTCTTATTTTTCCAGAACAGATGTTTGTGGTTGTTTTGCGAAACAGCACTCATTAAACATACTTTTTGTGTCTGTCAGTAACCACCTCAACGCCCATAAGTATACCCTCCTACACACACCCTGGCCGCCTGACATCTGTTAACAGAGGATATCCTAGTGTACCAAGAGGTTGTGCTTATCAAAGTGTGCTTCAAGAATACTTAGAACCGGGTGGTAACAACGTCTATCAGGCTATCCTCGAGCTTTGCGATGACACCCTTGTCTGCTAAGCTTGTTGACCGACTGACAGACTGATACGAGGCCACTGGTCCCAGTGCATGGTGTGATGTTCACCCTCCACAGCGTCACTGAAAGTGCGTGGTCAAAATCGCGCCAATAGTCTGAACTGGTTACTACGCTACTCTTGGAGAGCCTGGCCTTACCGGTATTCAACGCTCTCCACTGTTCTACAGTAATTAACGATTATCAGCGAGACACTGCCATCTTGCACCGACTAACTAATCAGAGCCTGCAGGAGAAGAACGTTTATTATCGCAAGTCTTTTGAAACCTATTGGATATCTTGCTTTGAAGTGTAGGTCTTTTCTGATGTGTCCGATGGGGAAAAAGGTAGGCTCACCACTAGCAAAGCCCTATCAAGTATCAAGTCAAAGAGCGGGCGCGAGTCAAGGACACCCACAGCACGGCTATCCTGCAGACGATCCACCATACCAAGGTCAGTTACGAAGGCTGCTGGAAGCATCGACCAAAAGCTTATCAGGGGTTCTGGCGCAAACTCGACATCCCCCACGCTCCCCTCAGAAAAGGCGGAAGGCATTACCGAAGAGGCTTGCCCCGAAAAAGGAGGAGGCACTGGAGGTTCCGACTGTTCCGCCAACAACGACTTCGGCTTGTCCGGCGTGTGTTGTTCTGCCGCCACCGATCAATGGTTACTGTCAACAGTTTGCTTTGGTCAAAGTAGGGCAGCAGTTTAACTCGCTCCTTTCAACGTCGCAAGCATCAAAGAGTAGCTACGGAGCGCCTGTGCCTCATGCTTTCTATTTTCAAGATGTTCCTGACAACGAACTCCGTCCCGAAGCCGAGAGGTTTGTGCGAGATGTGTGGCCGGAGTGATTTAGGGCGATGAGCATGCTGCTGTACTCGTTCTTGAAAAGCGCGACTACAAATGATCAGCCGAAACACAGGCGTGTAGTTCTGAGCAAGCCGATGTTGAAACAAAACTGTAGTCCGACCTTCTAAAAAACACCGCCTTTAATTGTGTGTACAAGCAGGATGACATAGTGATGTTCTTTTCTGGGGAAACGCTTTGAAGGTGTCTTGTCTTCCTTGTGATTGTAGTTGTTAGAACAGCACTGGTCTCTATTCACTTTTCATGTGTACTTATTGTTTTCGCACCATTTTGGTAACATCAGAGTGAAGACGACAACGTAATGCCCTACATACGAACCTTTGTTGAAAATCTGCTGTTCAGAGAACATGTGGTGGTCGTACAGTCGCCCAGATATTTAACTAGGGTGAACGAGGGGCAGTTTTTTTCTCTGTATCTTTGCTATGTCACCTCATTAGGTTCCGAAAACGGTAAGGGCAGGTGCTTTTTCACAAAGCACATGCCCGCCAAACAATTTTGAAGCTTCATTCTAAGACACCACGCTGATGCACAAAGAGATCACAGGATCCTTTGTGCATTTATCTAAGACGTCTCTAAGGTATAGGCGTGCACACGGGGAAAGGAGACGTCATGACGTCAGAATTGACATTATCATAACGTCATATGGCGGCGTAAACACGAGATAATTTTTGCATAAGTCAACCCCACGTCGCATAATGGTTGCCGCCGGTGGTCAATTTCCCGTTTGATGAGACATCAAAGATTTTCGCCTGAGACGACCCCGCTGCGCACGATCGTTAAACCCAGCTGCAAAGCTGTGGACACTGAGTCACGATGGCGTATACAAATCCCAATGCCCAAAACTTTAATGAATTAGCCTGCTTTAGTTGTACATTCGTCTTGCTTTCTAGCGTGCACGAGATACACACAGGGCCGTGACGAAAAGGCGCTATCGCTCGTCCATTTCAGAACCAGGTTGGTGACGTCCTTGCGTAGGAGCTCTGTCTCTTCAGGCGATAGCGCTGAAGCAACAGGATTCACGGAGAGCTGGATATCTGTGCATAAAAAAAGAGCAATAGGAAAGGAGTGTGAGATGTGGGTAATTTAGTGGGACATATTCATCCCCTTCAATTGGTGAACCTGAAATCACACCAGTGTATACTAATCATATCACCATAAAAATTACAGTCTTAGTGATAAACGAATGTAGTGGTGGGGAGAATGAAAAATGTAGCGATAAAATACTAGGTTGAAACTGAAGAACAAAAAAAAAAAAGGCTCCTACAAAGCAAGCAAGCGCGTTATCCTTGCTAATGACGATTATCAGAAAGTTCAGCAAGCTGGTACCCTTTCCAATCGAATCTACTTTTCTCTGTGTTAATGATACGGACGGTGATTGTGACCAGAGCTACACGACAAAAAAAGTCGCGTATTCCGTAGTTTCAGTCTGTGAGACATTAACGTTAGAATGCATATTTTCACACGGACGAAATTACAGAGGAATGGTAATGGCCATGCACAGCTGTAACGCTAGTTTAGCTTAGGCAGAAGCGCTGAAAATCTAGAGCACCTACCGACAAGGGACTCTGTAGTTTTGTGGAATTCGATCTTGTTATAAAGCAGCTCACACGTGTTGGCCGTAAGGCCAGCAGAGTCGATGATGCCACGCAGGTAGGACAGTCTCGCCTTGTCGTCCTCCAAGTCTTGGCTTTTCGGCGTGAAATCTTCAAATACCTTGCGGTGTAGGAAGAATCTCTCAGTTTGACGCTACAAATCGCCGACGCCAATATAAATATTCATAGCCCATCAGCGTGTCATCTTTGTCGGAGGAAGCGGATTTGAAAACCCTTGCTTCACACTACAGATAGCCACCCTCTCCCTTTTTCATATCTTATATTTGAATGGACTCCATCATCTACAATATATCCTGCCACCTACACATATCTCATAGCACTGGTAACCCACTTGAAGTCACACTACAACGTATATACATCGGTTACTTCATTCAAAGCCTCCATTTTTTTACATATAGTAAAAGACCGTGACGGCCATTTCTCACACCATTTCTGCCATGCTTTGCCTACCTATGTTTTCTGAAGCTATTAAAAACGCCACTGTACAGTTTAAATAAGCACCACTCCTTATGCAATACCCTTAAAGTAGGAATTTTAAGGAAGTAAGCTGAAGTGAGATAAACAAGCCGCAGGATGTGTAAGCAAGTTTGCGCCTGTCCATCACGGCGTGTACTTGGCTTCTGTGTCACCAGTTCAGACAAGAAATGGTTAGGAGCTTCACCAGGAATTCTCCGTTGAGAGACGTTCAAATGGTGCGTAAATATGCTTACCTACATTGTTTAGCGCACGAAACAAGTTGGCTAATGTTACCACATTACCAATTATAAACCTGAACTGTACTTGGTAGCTCAGAGCTCAGGAGTGCGAAACACTCACCCTGCGAGTCTCATGGGGCCTGCAATTTTTCCGCTGGCGGTATGCGGCCTCCACATGACAGTTATTGTGCCACCTATATATTAATAATATTATTTATATGCATAAGTTAGGCAGACATGAACGATTCTGAAATTTTTATGTGCTTCTGCGGTTGCCACGTAGTAAAATATAGCCGTAGGCAAAGAATTACATCAGAGAATTTGCGTCCGAATTTCAGTTACTCTGTTGACCAGTATCATTGTTTTGCTATCATTTAAATCCTCTACAGAAGTGGCCCATATGAAATGTGCCAAAAGAGACTTTGAGATAGCAACATCAGCATTCAAGCTTGTTCAGCATCCCCATCCCCAACACACTCATTCTGATCTTCTAACCTCCTTCGATGTCCTGACCCACCTGGCACTAACATGCGGACAGCTAGTTGTGGTGAGCTTGAGACACCTGCTGTACCTTAAAGTCCAGCCTGGTTGCCTGCTGCACGAGCTCTATGGGCATACATCATCCTGCGTCGATGGAGTTGTATGCCGGCTGCATAGTGTGCCTACTCGCCCAGTGCTGTTGTGCTTTCTTTTAGGGGCGAAGCTCCTTAGGGCGTGGGCTGTGCGTCCCCTGTAGGCTGTATGTAGCCACCTCTAGTTTAGTTCTTGCAGTGTTCACTAGATGGCGGTACCGTCCCCTGTATGTAGCCCCCTCTAGTTTAGTTCTTGCAGTGTTCACTAGATGGCGGTACCGTCTCCTGTATGTAGCCACCTCTCGTTTAGTTCTTGTAGTGTTTACTAGATGGTGGTACTTGTAGCTGATGATGAAAAGATGCAAGCTGTTATAAACTAGAAAGCGGTACTTGTAGTTGATGAAAGACGCGAGATCTTATAAAATAGGAATGATGTCACATATGGCGCGTGTCATTGGTTGAAGGCAATCGTTCGATTTAGTGCGGCGACGTACGCTAGGGGGAGCGATGTAATAAAATCGAGTGAGCAAAATGTACACTGGATTCATGGTTTACCAGGTTTACCTCCGGAGCTTCGCCCACTCATCATCATTCACTTCGTGGATATGGCGGCACTTTTTTCAATTATAAGGTGGCACTGCTATGTATATCTACATGGGGCTTCACGCAGTCCGATGCATTCTAGAGGCTACCATACGGACAGACGACTGGCATTTAATCAAGAAGTTACTCGATTGTCTACTCATTTAAAGATAATTCATGCATGTAAACCCTTCGGTAAAGTGATGATGCCAGCATGCCTAAATTTGCTATTGTGACCTTTAGAATATTTCCAACGAGCTGTCATAGCCGTGTAACCATGTGCACTAAAAGAGATGCACTAAGGAATAATGTCTAGTCAATGCCATACTCTTACGCAGTACTCTGTCTGCAATGATGAAAGGATAGGTGCTTACTTTCGTACATCTTTATGCCAATAATATGAACTCGCGTTGGGCAGTCACTAAGCGGGTCGAGCATCTTCTTTTGATAGAAGAGGTGTGAGAAGCTTAGACCGAATTGAAATGTATCATGCGTTACACTGAATAATAATCATGAATGCTCACTACATGCTTAATGCTTGACAGGAATACTTCAGTCAAATGAACTTTCGTTCCGAAGCATTTTCACATAGAGCTGTAATTCAACCATCGTAATTTTTTGGCAGTAGGTGGGAAAAAAAGAGGCCTAGATAAAGGATCTATAGGAAGCTCTTTTAAATGCGCAGCACTTTAGGAACCCGGGCTGGTATTTTATTTCGTACGCTGTCATCGTTCGGTGCCGAGCACGCAAAACCACCTACATTATAGCCAGTAGAATATTGAACATGCACTTGCTCCAAGAAGAAGTGTTCTTCCTCTAGTTCTGCGAGCCGATCGATGATAATATGAATGGTGGGGCACTTCAAAGGGCCCAGGCTGTGGTATGTTGTCGTATACTGTCGTCACATATTGTAGTGCAGGCAAAACCACGTATAGAAACAGAAAGATAGAAGCAAGCCTGAAACAGTAAGTTGGAGAAAAGTGAAAATATAGAAAAAAGTGACGTAAATGAAAATGAATAGAGTAAAAAGTTGCCAAAAGAAAGAGACATAGAGGTGGAAATAAGAGAGAACCCAAGAAAGTCAAAAGAGACTACCAAGTGCTGCACTTTTTTGAGACTTGGCACCATTAGTGCTAAGCTGCTTTAAGTTCGATATATTTGTAATAATTGAGGCTATAGGAACCAGGATAACCTTTGAATATTACTAGTCGGTGACCGCTAGGTAATGAATACTAGCTCGTAAATTTTACCCGCAACATCCCCAGAACATCGCCAGAACATCGCCAGAACATCGCCAGAACTGCAGTTCTTCAAATCAATCAGAAATTATAACCGGCAAGCTCCATAGAAAATAATTTACGGCTTCGCGGATTGGGAATGGATTAGGTCCAGCAAGATACCACCTTTTCTAAATGCCTCACTAACCAACTACCTGTCGAAACTCACTTTTGAGAACTTTTTCCAACGATCGAGCTGCGCGATCTGCCGCCACAACTCCCGCGTGGGTGACCAGGCGGGAAACACCAGGACACACTCGCCAGATGGTGTCAGGAGCTGGGAAACGTTGCTCATAGCCTTCGCCTGGTCCTTCAGCCAGTTGAAGCAGAAAAAAGAGTAAATCCGGTTGAACCTGCCGTACTCTTTGACGAAGTCCATGACGTCACCTTGCGCGTCCAGATAATCGTAATGGATTTTAGGATGCGCGTTGTTAGCGCGGGCGTACGAGAGCATCTCTTCGGACGCGTCTACGGCAACGAATCTTCGGCAAGTCGGACATCTAGGCAGCAGCCAGTCACGTGTGAAGTCACCTGTACCGCAGCCTATGTCCAAGAACTGCTGGTTCTCGGTGTCGTCGGCAGACGCGAAAGCCATGTGAAGCAAGTCGACCGCCTTCAAGTTCAGGGCACGCTGCAGTTGGTCATTGTCGGCGTAGAGCCGGGAGTTGTACCTGAGGTTGCCTGACCGCTTGGTCATCATGCGGGGCCCATTATCCATGGTGAAGAAGAGACCAGTGGGAATGTTTTACCAGGTGAACTTTCTGGAATGTCAAGGCAGCAGTGGGCAATATGCGATCTGCTCTCTCTTTTCTAGACCTGCAAAAAAACGCTATGTCAATGGGAATAATTGAGAGAGGAACAAAGCGTAGCTTCAGACTCGGAGGCTGGCTACGAGCTCGGTGGAGTGACATTTTGAAACCAGTAAGCACACATAGAGGAAAAGAGAAAAAAGAAGCACTTTTTGTGTCGTCTTCATGTGTTTTGTCTTTGTCCACTAACCAATTTGAAAATTACGCTTCAGAATTGAGTCGTAAGCTGAACTAATAATATCGCTTTCATGACTATTGTAAGGAAGCGAGAGACGCTCTAAATTCATTTTTTAAAATAATACAAATATAACAATGAATAAGTTTACCAGAAAGACTTCTTAACAATCAGATACAGACCTGGGCAACAGTTAGGAGGGAGGAGTTCGTGGACCCCTGCTAACAGCAGGGCCTCCAGTAGGCTGTAATACTTCATGCAATAGCTAGTATTGGCCGCTATTCACAGTTATTGACAGAGATAGTGCTTAAGCCCGCAAAGGTGACCTTTGCGTGCCTACAGATATTTAACAAGACGGTGTTGATATTGTATCTGTGGACACGCAAGAGCAAAGCATCGTAAACTATGTACTTTATTGAAACGACAAAGACGCAGACACACTCCTGTTGACGCTGATCCGCACAAACGTTTGGATACGAAAGTGAGAGCAACTGCAGTTTGAGTTATTCCGGCGTCGTTGACACGAATGACAGCTTTCTTAAGCATGTCTTGTTGACAGAAAGGGGATATACGTTTTAAGTCTTCAGAAGACAACATGCAACACACGGGCGAAATGCACTCACTTCGATATTGGTGGTAGGCTTTTTATTACAGAATATTAGCATTATAAGTTTTTAAATTTACCTTTTACGTTTTTTAAATAACCATTTATTATAGCATTCATTCTCTTAGCGCAGTTATAACGCGCAAATACAGCTCTTCCGGTGCCGAAACGGCCCTTTTGTAATGCGAGTGGCTGCAGCCGCTGATTTGTCATGCAACTAATCACATGATAAACCTTGTTGTACCATGCAAACTGACAGCCAGTTCATTCTCGTGGAGTTGTTTTTGTGACTGTGTTGTGTACAATTACTTAGAACTACTTGTAAACAATTTTCAGGCGATAATGAATGGCGTGGCCGTAAGGCTGACTCTGTTTGACGGGACGCGTCCCAGGCTAACACCAAAAATAATGGAACATCGTTTTACACAAATAGTAGACCAAGTATTTGATTGCAATGAGAGCGATTTTAAACACAAGAACGTATTATTAAAAAAACATTTTCAGGAGTTTTTTTTTTGTAAACCACTTACGTTTGATCACAATTACGCAATAAAAAAAGCACAATAAAATGTAAAAGGTATTTGTTCAAGTAACAGAAACTGCCAAAGTCAGCTGTACAGAGTTTCGATAAACACAGTTTGAGTTGTTCGTAGCAATAAATTCCTGGAATGCACGTATTTTTCGCGGGTCGCCATATCCGTGATATTTTTGTCATACCGTGCGTCGGACATTCCGCAGAGAGAACACAAGGCCCGGCACCCAAAGCGTGGATCGAGAAGGAGTAGGAAGTAACCCACACGAAACGTGGGCGGAAACTCCATTTAAGTACACAAGCATCCCGTAATATGTACACCTGTACAGTGCCTTATAGGGACCAGCCAAATGGTCGTGACACCGGAACCCTAATTGAAACCCTGACACCACAATTATTTTGCAATTTTTTTAATACAAATGAGAAAGACGTTTCCCTCACAGCATTGTCTATCAATTATTCTTTAAAAAAATAAACACTGTGCACCGGTCAGGGCGCCTTTGTGTGCTTACGTGCACTCAAATGTGAGAAAATACGAAAATTGCGCAAAAGCGTTTATTACACTACCAAGAATTCCTGATACTTTTCTCAGAAGAGAGAAAGTTTCTTCAAAAAACAAAGTTTTAAACCGTTTTTCGGAAGTTATCTGGATACACCCTGTTGTTCTTCAACTTGCACTCACATTGCGCAATACACCAAGATCTAACATTTCGCCACCACAATAATGCGACAAACCACACTTTGTCACGAAAAGAAGGAAGCATTCTAATCTCACCTTTTGTGCAGATTAAATTAGCTGACTGAATAGCCGTTATTCTATGATAAAATAGTCTGCGCCAATGTGAACCAGCCTGAGGTACTCGTAAGGATTCCGGTTGGGGCAAGCTGACTAACGGAAGCAGATGTTGGAAGCATTTATGGGTGGTACGTGACCGAGACCTTGATATCTGTGTGCAACGTCAGTGCAAAATATTCGTGGTACTGTTCATTTTTGTTTTCACGCTACTGTAACTCTACTGTATTATTCTTTTGTTTTGTTTTTTTACAACAGAGCGCCAGCTGTTGAATTTCCTGTTGCCTATCGCACACGTATCTCGCCCGTTTGCTCCTTACTTGCTAACAACCGTCGATCACTGTTCTAAACTTAGTAAAACAGAGTAGGAGGGTCGCACGAATATGCCTGGTCAAATTCAAAAGATGAATTACGTGAAAATTCCAGACACGCGTGGCTCATTCCCATATACTACGAGCCGCGGTAGGCGGGTATGTGCCACAGGTGATCGACAGTTTTGCAGTAAAAGCTGTTATGATATCAAACTTCGGATCACGCGCGGGACCGTTGTTGTACACCGTCGACGTCGCCAGTATCCGTAACCACTCTCGCAGAAATAAGCAAAAAAAAGAAACACTTGTACCAAAGACACAGTGGGGCTCTAAACCAGGTCCGCTGCGTGCCGCCCAGTATTCTATTACTGAGCCACGCAAGTGCTTGGGTCTTGTTCGCAAACTTGCCTTATGCACGCATGATGTCGGCAAAGTAATCGTGCAGTTTGAGTAATAAGGCGTTTTAGAACAGCAAAAGAACAACCGTGGGTAACACAATGCGAATAGCGTAACGAGTGGGTCGCCCAATGCTCCGCCACACTACAAACACTTGTTTTTGAACACCTATTAACTGTGGCGCATACCCACTTCAGACATCGCCGTCAGCCACTGCATGAACAATTGGCACAAAATTCCTTGCAAGTGTTTAGCGAATATCACGCTTCTCGCAAGAATCATGAAGAATAGCATAGCGAATGCTGACCTACTACCCAATAATTAATATTAATATAGCCGAACTTGGTACCCAGCAAGTGGGGTTGCAGTAGTTAACCAATGAGTGTTTAGAAAAGGCTGAGAAAGGCCGCTCGCCTACCATTCGCAGTGACTGCGCTGCGCCATCCACGCAGGCCTGGCATTTGGAAACCCAGACACGGCGAGTACACACATAGGTAATTTTAACGCATGAGCGTTAAATACTGACATCAGCAGCATTAATCCCATTAATGCCAAATATAAATGTCAGGGCGCCAGCAGGAATAGAACCGCAGCGTTCTGCGTTGTAATCAAGTATTCTACAATGAAGCCCTACCAGGTGTTGGAAGTACTTTTTAAATAGTTGCAGTGCTGGCTCTCCAATTTTGCACTCACCACATACGTACTCTTATCATCCTATGATACGCTTATCACGTCGGGCTAACATCAACAGTAGTTAAACGCAACACACTGAAGTTGATTTATGAAGCAGTGTTCAGTACTGCTATCCTCACGAGCTCAAATGCTGCATAACATCTTACCAGCTCTGGTGTTGCCGATATCCATGTTGCTGTTAGCACCGTTAACGAACTGTGTCACAATGTTGATATTACCAGGCGCGTTTTTTTTTTAGTCAGCTGTATTGACACATGAATCGGACACGGTGTGACGTAAAAACCTATTTCATTTCACATAACAGCCCCACCGCGGTGGTCTAGTGGCTAAAGTACTTGACTGCTGACCGGCAGGTCGCGGGATCAAATTCCGGCTGCGGCGGCTGCATTTCCGATAGAGGCGGAAATGTTGTAGGCCCGTTTGCTCAGATTTGAGTGCACGTTAAAGAACCCAGGTGGTCGAAATTTCCGGCGCCCTCCACTACGTCGTCTCTCATAATCATGTGGTGGTTCTGAGACGTTAAACCCCACATATCAATCAATCAATTTCACATAACGATACAAATACCAAAAAACAGAAATCTAGATATGTAGTACACTCGGAAGATCAGAGCTAATTATAAACATCTACTTCTACAGGACAAAACACCTAAAACGACCCAGTACAACGAAGTCCCATGTGCATATCCAGTCGCTCACCACGTTCGTCGGTCCTATAGCGTCCTCCCTGGTGAAAAAGAACGCTACGCAACCTAGGAGACATACGCGACGTCGTTTCCATTCGGTGGCGGGAGTCATAGTGACTGCGGAAACTCCGGGCACCTTCAAGGCTGCTCTGGCCCGTGCGGCGTTGACATGGCAGACGGGTATCCACGAGCATGGGCTCGTACAAGATCGGCAGCGTGACGCTGACCCGTCCCGGTCGCTCACTGCACTGTCTGTCAGCTGGACGACCAGAGCCATGAAGATGGTAGCTCACCGAGGTGAAGACCCGTGCGGCTTTCAATGCGTTGCAGTCCTGGGTAAGGACCCAGGCTGCTTCGACCAGTCGTCGGCTTGTCCGTCGTCTTCGCCGACGTTCTTCCTACACACGCGCCCACAGCTCTTTTTTCTTATCTTTAAATTTGTTTTCTGGCGCCTGTTCCGTGCCTTTCTTTCCTTTTATTGCGATAGTAATTATATGGACACTCTCGGCTCAATTTCACCGCCGGCGCCAGCGTCGATGTCATGCACCGTATATGTATACGTATCTACATATATGAAAACGCAAGAAAGAAGAAATCCAGCAGAAAGACTACGGCGCGCGGAATCGAACGTGGGACCTCCACGTCCTGCTTGCAAGGCGTTCACCGCTGAGCCCCCGAGCGGTACCTCCTTCGAAGTTCAAATGGAAAGCTATTCATATCTACCACTTTCCACTGATGGCGGGCATCTCGGGGGAGCGATCCTGTTTTCAGCATTATCAGTAGGAGAGCGCAATGAGCACGCGGCAGCTCTCATCTCCCACGTGTACTTTGGCCCGCGTTGAGGAGGGAAATCGACGATCTTTCGTGCGTCCTTATCTCCCGGTGGGGAGGATCATACGTCTTAGCTGGCGTTTGGCTTGCACTGGAACGATTCTGTTGTAGTTACGGGGCGCGCAAGGGTCACTGCAATCGTTGCACAGCCTTCGTTTGCGAAAAAGGCTTGCTTTTCAGACACAGTGAACTAACAACTGAGACGCTTATTGGCGTTCATCTGTACCTGTGAGTGCGTTTCGTGCGTCATTTTTGAGTGAGAAACGTGGGGTAGGTTTCGATCTGCTTACGATGCTGCGCATGACCTACCAATTTGTTGCTATTGTGTTCATTACTTCGCTTTTGCGGCAAAGCTGTCAGTTTTATGTGTTTAGATGCCCTTTCTCTTGTCATCTCTGGCAAACTGTAAACAAGTGGTTATACAATGCCATCGACTGTTTAACACATGGCTCTGCGTACAACATTAGCATTATCTTAAGAGAGGCATCGTAACGTATTACTGAAAACTACCACACGTTCCCTGTCCTTCCGCATGCTTCCCATAAAGTCGTGTGTTGTAGTGCGCTGGACCTGCCGTATTTTGTATGGCAATATGCCTAGAGGGGCTGCTCGGATACTGCTGATTTTAAAAAGGAATGAAGCTTTTCAACCAGATGTCCTCGCTGGCTCCCATAAAATAATTCCTATACTCCCCACACGTGGAGATTTCTTGAGGTCGAGGATGTTGCACTCGACTATATTGGCTTGGGATACACTGTGAAAGGAAAGTATACATTACTTCTCCACCAAACACTCTCCAAACATTCAGCTGTAAACTCTAAAGTGTAACGTTAAGAGACTAAAATAGAGCACAGTGGGTGAGGGAAACAACGGTGGTTAGAATGTTAGAGTTGAGATCAAGAAGAAGAAATGGTCTGTGCACGCAATGCGTAAGCATGCTGACTACCGGTCATTAGAAGTAACTCACTGGATTCTAAGAAAAGGCAAATGCGTGAGATGGAGGAGGAGAATTATGTGGGCAAAAAAGATTAGAAAGCTTGAAGGTATAACTTAGCAGCAGAAAACACAGGACCGTTTTGATTGCAGGAACATGGAAGAGGCTTTTGCGGTGGAGTGGGCTTGGTCAGGCTGACAAGAGTGGGTGCCCTCTCATGCATTATTTTTTTGCGTGTGAGGGAACATGTGTTATGCCATTATCAAGAAGGTCAGTCTGCTCCGGAATAAATGCGTTATAAGTTTGCACCTTGTCTGTTACGCCATCACTTCTTGTGCCCGTGTCCTATACGAACAACTTTATACCTAGTAGTGGCAAACCAACGTGCCTAAATAGCAACGTAGGTGAAGTTGGAAGCCTTCCAGAAGTTTGTGCAGCAACATTAGTCGTCCTAAGCCTTGTGCTTCTTATTGAAAACTTGGAACTCGCTATGGAAGCTATTGTCGAAGTTTTCATCGGAATTTCGTCAGAGCGCACACTGTTGCTCGAGTAAGCAGCAAGCCACACCGCGAGATGGCATTCTTGAAGTGAACATCACGGCCCCGAAAGTGCATAGCATATTGACAGCGTTAAAATGAAAAAAGTATAGAGTATGTACCACCACGTTAGACTTGAAATTACTTGACAATACTTTCTTTGCATATGATCATGTCCCAGATGCGTATGCACTAAGCAGAGATTGCGCACACACCCTTACAAGTCCTGTAAAGGCAGATAAGACTAATTTGAGAGCTACAGCGATCTCAAGTTTGCAGATAATGCACGGCTGCCGAGATTTGCGCAGCAAGAAGCATGCAGCGTAATGTGGGGATATTCTGTACGCACTCTGAGATAGTATGCACGTCTCACGGTCAGACATAAGAATTGCGACCGAAGAATGCACTGCTGTCAATCATTCTGACACAGAGTGGGAACAGGATGGACGGATGGCTTGTTCCCCACGATAGAGCGACTTTATAAGGGTCGCCTAAGAACTCCCATCGGATCAAAACCTAGGCGTTCGGGCCGCAAAATTGAAATGGTTTGCTTTTCGTCTGGCTTTCTTCGACGTGGCACAGATGGTTTGCAAAAATCATGGCGAGCCTTTGACCACTCAGCAACTGGTGAAATTGTGACATCACCAGGCGTCCATTCGAGAGACTAACACGGATAAATTGTTCAAGCGATCACGCTCTTAAATTTCAAGTTTCGAAAAACAATGCCTGC